GAGTTATTAACATGCTACCATCGACGGCTAAATGTGATGATTTGTTTCTAATTGACGACGATTGCTTTGGACAGATTCTTGTCTAATTTAGGTCTTGTCATCACCAAGCTTTATATGAATAAATTGATATAAAGATTATATTGATTTCAAGAAAAGATTACGTAAAATATCATTCTCGCTCTTCGATTAGTTATGGATAACGCCTAGTAATCCCTAACTTCGATCCGAAGATCGATCGACACCGATCCTCTCAATATAGTGAGCTGGTAAAGTTGAAGATAATTTGTGCACCAATTTACCATTAAACGCAATAATGATTAGACATAATTTGAAGGCTTACGTCACTCAATTAGCAAGGGAAGTGATTATCTGATGACTGAAAACAATCACAGCAGGTTTATTTTTTTTATTTCACTATTTTAGGTCCACGCATCGATGAAATGTCCAGCCACATAATGAAATGGCCCATTTTTATATCTCAGCACGTTTGGTCAAAAGTAGATCACAGTTCCACTCTGAATGGTCGCAGTGACATCATCGGTCTCTCGTCACTCCGCACGTGGATTAGTAATTACGACACGCTACACATTACATTAACAGGAACAATTAATTCTAACGGCATTCTTACTGTTAAATAATAATCGTTATTTGAATACTCAATTGTTTTTCAATGTAATTGTCTTGTTTTGCTTCATATTACACAGCGTTTATTTTATTATAAAATTGATTTTGTTAGGTTACATAAAACCTCTTAATAGTGTTTATTTACTTTAAGTTGTTTTATTATGTCGATGTTTAAAACATGATGGTTTGAACACGCTTAAATTATAATAAGAAATACAAGCGGGACCGTAATAAATTTTGACAAAGACCATAACATTATAAACTCACGTTGGGCGCCGCTTTGTTCTACTTTAAGCCTATATTTAATTTTAATCGATACATCATTATAGTCATGTACACCGAATAATCGATGCATCGATTCACAGACGTCATTATCAGCTAAACACTACTTAGTTCCTGTCATGTGTGACGATGAGTGACAGCTTTAGAAATGACAGGCGAGTTACTTAACGCATCATTACAACGAGCACTAAATACGGGCAGTATAACCTCAATACTTACATGCACGCCCCTTTTATCAATTAGATCAAATATTTCTCTTCCTAATTTCATAATTTGTATCACGTAGCTACAGACATATAGGCCCTTTACTATAGGGAATAATACTATAGGGATTGCTGTACGATTCGATTGACTCCGCTCTTCAAAATTGGTTGAAACAGTTGGCACTATTACGTCATGATAAACTAGCTTTCTCCCGCGACTCCGTCCGAGTAGAATTTAAAAAGAACAAAGCAGCCTACGTGTTCTTCCAGACTATCTACATCTATGGCAAAATTTCATCAAGATCCGTTCAGCAGTTTATGTTACAAACTAACAAACATCCATCCATCTAAACTTTCGCATTTATAACATTAGTAAGATAATATGGATAAGACATATTTTACCTTTAAGTATACTACGAGTATTACCTTCTTATTAGACTAGTAATAAAACGTTAGTTCATTATGCATTTTAAACTTTATGTTATTTAATAGTAAAGTTTTTAAGGTCAACGTACTGGTTGTATGCATAAATATTTAAAAGAAATCTAAGCTAATGATAGACGTTAAACAAGAAAAAACAAAAGACAGATCGCATCTTGTAGAACTTGTAAATGGCGGCTTGTTTAACGCGTGGGCGTAATAACATTATTACGATAATGCGGAATGTGAATGAATCTATAACTGTATATTGTTTTAAAGAATGAATATATACATATATATATATCTATACTTCTATATATAATAAAGCGTAAATACAGACTGCTTCGTGGCACAGATCGTTAGCAATCACAAATTTTTTTCGAATAATTATTCCTTCAATAAAAAGCCCTACACACACGCTATACATTTTCACGCTATTATACTTAGGGGTTAAATAAATTGGGAAAAAAATAATGTGGGAAAGACTATAAACTACAAGCTGCCAACATTGCGGAATAATTATGGTAACGGTAATTTTGACATTTGCAATTGGGATTTTAACAAATGTAAACAAAAGAATAAAGTTTTATATGATTGAATGCGGATGAAGCCGCACGTAAACAGCTAGTTAGTGATATAATGACTAAGTCGTATAAGCCTGTAATCGAAATGGTTAATGTTAATAGAAAACTGATGTAAACATTATGCAAATATAAATGTATTTTGACAATATGTAAATTAACGAATATATCTTGACTTTATGTGGTTTTTATTCACGTTAAAGACGCACCTTGATTTCTTAATTTCCTGGTATATCCTTAGTTAATGCTGGCAGGATGTAAAATGATGAAAAAAAATAACAAAACACATCGCAAAAGGTAATGTGTTAAAATCGTAGTTTTTGCCGATTAAACAAAACACAAGCGAAACGCTAAATCATTTACATTTTTATGTTACAACTAGCTGTTGCTCGCGATTTCGTCTGCGTCAAATTAAAAAAAAAACATATCCTATGTTACATAGTTATAACGTAATGTATTTTTTTGGTAAATCTTTGAAATCGGCCAAGTATTTGAGTGACTTCATACAAACAAAAATATATATCTTTCCTCTTTAATATATTAGTATTGATAATCTAGATTTCTAAGGGTATTTCAATTTTCATTAATTGTTCATGAATCAGTAATTCGTGAAGGAAGATTTAGTGTATAAACTCCAAATAGATTTTGTATAAATTTACTGTAAAAATATAAAATGTAAGTATTAGACTAGAACTCGGTGGCTCGGTGGTTTGAACACTTGACTTGTAATCTACAGGTCTTGGGTTCGAATCTCGCCATGTACCAATGTGATTCATATGTACATACTCGTAATTTACCCGACGTTCTTACGGTGAAGGAAAACATCGTGATGCAACCTGCACATATCGGCGAAGAAATTCAAAGATTGTGTGAAGTCAACCAACCCGCACTTGGCCAGCGTGGTTGATTATGGCCTAGTCACCCCGTATTAGGGTAGGCTCCGAGCCCCTCGGTGGGGACATATAGTAGGCTGGTGATGACTAAAACTCGTAGAGTTTGCTTTTTACTTTTACGTTTAAAATATATAACTGGATCGAAATATATTGTACAACTTCTAAGCACCCGACATTTTTTTTTTATAAAATAAGCGAGCAAACGAGCAGCGAACCGCTTGGTATCAAGTGATCCGACGCCCATGAACATCCGCGACGCCAAGGGAACTGCAGATGCGCTGCCGGCCTTACGCTTTTCTTGAAGGCTCCTAAATCGTAACTGTTTGAACATATTCAAATGCAACCTGATATTGTCTTGAAAAGAACGGACAGATATCATAATTTCATATGTTTATTGCAAGGTCGAAATTGGTAACCTAAGGAGGTAGGCGAATGTACGTGTTTACAAAATTCAACTCATACATGTATAGAATATTAAGAACCTGTCCCGCCAAATTGTAAATTGTCTGATAAAATCACGTGTAAGATATTTGTTGGAAATATCAGATTTTGTTCCCTTATCTGACAGTGACGTCATTTTTAAGTTAGCTGAGCCTCTAGCCAGTGGTAGGACAGGCCCTAATTCTTCTCAAATAGTCCCCGGTTGAGTATTAAACGTTTATCACTAATATTACGTTAAAAAGTTAAATCATGTGTAGATTCATAACACTTAAAATATTATAAATGCGATTAGACGGATGTTTGTTAGAGTTTTTAGAATATATCTATAACGTTAACTAATAGACTTCAGTAGTTACATTATACATTTCAATCTAATTAAAAAGGCCAAACACACAAATAGCTGTTACTAACGCCTGATTAATACGTAAATCTGTTTTAGTATATTTCGTTCTTTTAAATATTTGACCGACTTCCCACAGTGAGGTACTCAATTCGTCTGTTTTTTTTTTTATATAAAGGTAACAATCTTTAATAATAAATACTGTAAAGCATATCTAAACACTATCAGACTTCATTATGAAGTATTCAAGTATAATAAACAAGAGTTTCGCCGGTAAGAATCTAGCTCACCTTGGACATTATTTCCTACTTACTGCGGAACGCTAACATCGCCCCTGTACCATTAAATATATTTCAATTAATAAAATCCATCGCTAATACATGTTTCTATAAACGAAATTCATTTCCATTTGTTTCGTGGTAGAAGGTTAATTTTTATATGCAACTTCTTGTTATTAGATGGCTATTACCGTTAGTGCAATTTGCTGTTTAAAAAGAACCAGATATAAATAATTTAGGCTTGAATTCTGATATTATTTAAAAAAAAAATCATACAGAAGAATTGAGTACCTCCTTCTTTTAGGAAGTCGGTCAATAAAAATTAGATTTCTGAGACAAAACAGCTATTATAGAGTTTTTTGGCGGGAATCAAATCCAGAACTAATCCAATAATACTATTTCTAGCTGCTTTGAATTTGAAAATAGAATTATCGAGACTTACTTTAAATAATCTATTTATTACATCGTTCAAATGTACTTGATTTGATAATTTTGCGAGTTTAACCATTACGTGAACTCACTCGTTCTCTAATTGTGTATTAATGGAGTTTGTAGTGGAAGTGATTTAGCAAATTGCTATCCGTTGTCGATTTAATTTTGTAATAGTCGTAATTATTACTTAATGATTCAATATTTAACCACGTTTCTATTTGACGATGAACACATTAAAAAAACAAGTTAAATCTAATTAACTATAGATTATAGCTGTAATATATTTCAAAACTTATTTGTCTATTGAATATTTAACAAAATGTTTATCTACACGTACATTTGACAGAACATAAGACTGCAAGATAAATTCTCATCATATAAATTAGTATTTAAGTTTGATTCGAAATTTTAAAGCAATATAGAGGCTATGAACAGTTTTATTTACCAATTCAATCGCATAGTTCGATACCGGTTTGTGCAACAAAAAACATAATCTCGGAACATACCGTTTTGCAATGAAAGAGCAAACAACTCCTCGTCTTGCAACCATCGCAGCTCTCTAATTATAGACATATCAGCTTCGAAAGACATTAATGTGTCATGATATCTACACAACAGTGCCACAGGAACTATGCGAAACTGTGCGAACACCACAACACTATAATCACAACACTAGTACACAAACCCGCCAAGCGGAACGTCAAATTTTTATGCTACTTGAATTATTCATACTGTAATATCTCGCGCCATAACTAGCGTTTCTAACTTGTGTCACATCTAACTGTAACAATACGACCACAGTCATAGGGTTTTGTTACGAAACGTCACAATTTTTGACAGCTGATGTTTCGATCGCACGCGCAGGGTTAACGAACGGAATGCGCGCGAACACAACACAAGCGCGCACTGCGCGTCGCCTTAGCACACTGGCTGCTGACCGGGTCGGGCGCGCTAGGCGGGGGGCCGACTCCACCACACGTCCTTAAAATTTTATCGATAACTACTGCTTTAAAATCGATAATACGCCATCACTACACCCATATAGCCTCCGCGAATGTTTTACGACGGTTTCGAACTTGCAATTAAATCGCTGATTTTTATTTATTTGGCAATTTAATGATTTGTTGATGGTTTAAGAGCAATTAGTGGAACATAGTAATAATTTTTTCTCATGCAAATTTTATTTGTTCATCTGTTCTCGCTTTTAAGTTCGTAAAATTTTATTACGCCCACGTTTGAATTAACTAACATAAGCATACGATGACGAATTAAGTACATTACATCATAACTTTAAGCATTAAGTGTAAAAAATGTAATGAATACTAAGCAACAGACTCAAAAGTCTGTTGCTTAGAATTTAAATTTTAGTTAGAATGTAAATAACAATTAAAACTATAGAGACGTTTATATCAATCCCACGCCAATTCAATATAAGATGTACCTACAGCCGGCTTTAATAAGCTAAATTAACTAGAGCATCTAGCTGTTCAACTTTTTTAAAAACTCAACGATGACAGTTTGATAAGCAAGATGGAGAGTGCCTCAACCGCACCGGGCCCTTGCCTCATCTCAACTCAATGGATCTGTGCATGTCTTCTAGGATGACATGAGTCATTAATTATAACGTAGAAAAAATAAACAATTTGATAATAATTTGCAAATATACCTCTTTATTTCGATGGGCTTAATGATTTAAAAAAAAATCTATACGTGTTTCTTTAAACAAATATCGGAACCTTTAAAATGTAAAAATTTAAAAGTATTCGGTCAAGTAAAAAAAGGCTAATTCAAATATTACAAATATGTACGCAAGATGAGATGTTTTTGGGAAACACGTGATGTAATCGTTTAAACAGGTCTAAAGTTGTCAGTTATGTGTTTAATTTCCCCGTCACTATGGGCCTTATCTTTTAATTCATATGACGAAACTCAACACCGCCGTCAGTTTCGAGATGTGACTTATTTCACGATTTTATTATCTATGCAAGCTTACAGATAACGTTATTAAAATAGTTAAAGTTCCATAGAGTTTGCTACTTATAGAGCTACTAGCTTTTACCCACGACTCCGTCCGCGCGGAGTTAAAAAAACTTAGTAAGTTTGTGTTCTTCTAAATTGTGTTCTACATCTTTGCCAAATTTCATCGAGATCCATTCAGCAGTTTAGGCTACAAACATACATCCATCAATCTAAACTTTCGAATTTATAATAGTAAGGTTTAAACTATTAAAGTTAAGAATGTTTCTCAACGACAACACCAAATATAAAAGTGGCATTTATCCCGAAACATATTTTTCCCCTATGGATAATTAACCCAAAATTTGCTTAATGATCTACTAAGCGTAAATAATTTTCGAGACTTGTACGTACACGTTATAACAACTCAAATAGATCTTCGATTGGATTTCGTTTGGAAAGTAAGCGAAATATTTTGTACGTGACAAAAATCCGAAACAATCCATGTCACGATTTTTCAATTGAAATCGCATTACGACCGCAATATAAATGCGAGTCGACGCAAGGCAATGGCCCTTTACAAATCTATTTACGGTACTTTTTCGGTGCTAATGCTTTTTGTTTGGTACAAGTGAATGTGTTTGTTCGGGTCACAACTCTATGTGAGACAATAACCTGTCTATTATATTGTACATGACTTCGAATTATTCCTAAGAACAGATTATTAGACCATTACTACCGGAAATAGAGCGATTTTTTTTCATTTTAGAAATCACTTTCATGCGCAGATTATAAACTTTGTTTGCATTTGTAACGATAAATTGCATATATCACATTTTATACTAATATAATAATTGCGAAAGTTTAAATAGATGGATGTTTGTAAGAGTTTTGAACAGATCTGGATGAAATTCGGCATAGATGTAGCACATGACATGGAAGAACACATAGGCTACTTACTTTTGTTTTTTTTTTAATTCCACGCGGACGGAGTCGTGGGCAAAAGCTAATGCATCTATAAGTGTAACCAAAGAATGTTAATATTTAATTAAAAAAATCTACTTCAATAATTAAAATGTTTCGAAATTCTAAGCTCTATGCTGATACTAAAATACAAAGGTATCATAACTTCATATTTTAGTATAGAGCGTGAGAGGTCGTGAGTAAATTTAACAATGACTCGAAGGGCCAATGCCGATCTCGTTCAACGTCATAAAAATAAAGCGTCGCATTCTCGCGGATTTCCTTTTACATCGCTCCGGGTCTGTGACTTTAAACGACAGGACCTGTCAAGCGTCGATTAAACTCTGACAAATAAAAACGAATAATAGATTTCACACTTGCTTATCTTGACGTTTTGGGTGTAGCGTGTCAGCATATTATGCATATTTGGGGTTTTCATCGTTACTTCAAAGCCCACGAAACAGATACACAAACCCCACGTGACAGATTTTATTTAGTGCTAGCTGTTGCTCGCGACTTAATCCGCATGACAATAAAAAAATATAGTCTATGTTACTCACTGATAACGTAGCTTTTTTATGGTGTAAGAATTTTAAAACCGGCCGAGTAGTTTTTGTGTTATTTCATTACATATAAAAATACATATATTTCCTCTTATTAGTGTAGACAATAGAGGTGTTTGTCTAGTCCATTCCAGTATACTCAAAGACTTTAAGTTGATTGCGAGCTTTGCTGACGTTTTGTACCTGTTACCGACTCGAATGCCCACGTGGGAGTCGCCACTTAACACCTCTTTACAACCTTGACTTGTATATCTTACGTTTATTAGTGTAACAGTCGTTTTGTTTGCATGTTTGTCGCGATGTTCGCACCAACTCCGATTGTATTCGGAGTTATAAAATTTAACGATCTGTAAGCGGGTAAAATGTTGACAACCCTATAAATAACTTAGTTAAATTAGATTAGAGAAATTTTGGTCACACCTGAAATTAAACTATCGCAGAACTGTTCAGTCTCACTTTGATTCCTATATAGCTTAAATGGAGGCATACTACCCGATTTTTAGTTGTGCAACTAAACAGTTGAATTAGTTGCGAAACAATTGACAATCGCACAACAGTTGTACGATAGTTTGATCAAAGGTTATCGTAATCTGTAATTAAATGTCTATTTAAATTGTAAGTTTCTAGACAATTGTGTATTAATTTTAAGGCATAGTAAAATTGTGATCGCAGAAATATTAACCAGGATGTATCTTACGGCCTTGGAAAATACGTTAAAGCAGGCTGTAAAAACTATTTAGTTCACTTTCATTGATTTCTTCCTACTTTCTAAAAGTTACATGTTAACCTTAAGAAATAAATCAGATAAATGTTTTTTTTATTAATTAACATCATCGCTGGTACCTTTTATTTTAATTGTAAGTAACAAGTTAAAAGATAAACGGCCGAATATTAAAACGATCTTAAATCGCTCCGTGACTTACGATCTAACAAACGTTGACTAAATGTAGTTTCAACATTCGGCAGAAATATTTGCAATGAAATTCTGATGATGAAAATGACATATAACAATATAATAATAATATAATAAATGACATATAACACATACAATACTAAACTAATTTTAACTAATCAAAATCGCCTTTTAGTACACTTTAGTAGTTAAATCAAGATTAAATATGACTAAATCCATTCATATCATGATCTGCGATCCCAACTCAGTACACCCTCTCGCTGTCGCCATCCGAAACCAAATTAATACGTTATAACTGAAAGAAAAAACTGTAAAAATAGCGTGGATTAAATCACACACAGGCCTCGCAGAAACGAACACGCAGATGACTTGGCCAAGAAAGCTGCCCTCTCAGACAATCTCACGTCTTCTTAACCATATTATGATCAACATCTCTTCTATGAAGCGTAAAATAGAATCTTTTATTCTCTTAATAATATCATCAATCATAACATCGGAAACTCGTAGCGTTTGTGCACTTCGGGGAATTTACGAAACAAAACTATTGGAAGTCTCGATAATTTCCATTACGTATGAAATTGTTTATTGAACAAATAACATAACTATAAACTAACTAAGACATCCTTAAATAAAAAGAATAAAACAATCTTTTACAAGTGAGTAAATGTATTAGCTACCGATATCAATAAAGGATTTTTCAGTTAGGACAGAGTTTGGCCTGAAATGTAGCTCACTTGGTCTAATTAGACCACAAATATAGCTAGAAATCTGTACCACTAATTCGAAATTCGCAATTAATGCCAAGAGTCAATTAACAACTTTAATAGCTTCACAAAATGTTCTAAAACCATTCCGCTCGGTGTTGCTAATCGAATTGCAAACGTTTTTCATTTGTTCTAGTGATGTTCTAACCTCGCAATAAGATGGTTATCACCAAGTGTGGTTTTAAAATGATTTTAATTTTAAGAATGCTGTGCCTTTAAATCATAGATAAGTAAATCAGTTAACATCGAGAAGTTAGGTCATATTTCAAGGCAATTAATTTATTTAGCAACACGTTTAGATGTAGACAATGCTTACGTACTAAAAGTAACGTTAGCTTGATACTGTTAATTTCAGGTTTTTTTTATATATTATAAGGCGGCAAGCGGCCACCTGAATAATTAATAAATAATTGACACACAAAGGGGATATTTCCCCTTCCTATGCGTTTCCTCCTCCGTCAAATCCTATTCCTTCGCATCCTTTCCTCTCAAGAAAAGGAGTGGAAAGGGAAAGGGACTAAATTTGGGCTTCCGGCACTCATAAGATGAAACACGGAATTGCTTCCACTTCACGCATGTCTTCCATGTGGTCTTGCACCGGACTAAAAGGTACATATTTTATTAAATTTTTTGGCGTCATGCATTTTTTATTGGATGACTTGTTCTTATTAATGTCGCTCACCTTGACATACGAAATCATGTCAAACGAATCAGCAAATACATTAACATCGAAACCTAATTAAATTCCAATTAAATCTA